GTGTGTGTGTGTGTGTGCGTGCGTGCGTACATGCGCGTGCGTGTGTAATATATCATTATGTATATGCATCATGTATATTTCATTATATGTATGTATTATTTATATATATATATATATATTTATTACTAGCATGTAATTAAATTACAATAACTACATTTTATTTCTAAACATCTTAAAAAGTAGTAATTTTCACATTTTTCTCTTTAGAGTTAAGTTATAGTGATTGAAATTTTGTAATAGATCTATGGACACATTTTTAGAACAACTATATAAAAATTACAGAATTTGTAATAAACATTTCATGCTATCAATGTTCTTAAACAATTTAAGAAATAGACTTTGACTGCATGCAATTCCAACACCAAATTTTTCAGTAAATGTAGAATCAGAAGGTAAAAATTATCTTCAGCTTTATTTAATTCTGTGCATTAATGCATAAATTTTTATAATAATAATTCTATCTATCTGATAGTACAAATGTAAATCTTTATATTGTAATATATATTATATCTTATATTATATACATATAAAATACAAAATATATGTAATTTCTGAAATGTTTTATTATTTTTATTATTATATTTCATAAATAGTAAAATATAATGAAGAATGAATCACTGAAATATTTGTTATTTTATTATGATATATATTTAATTTTAAGATATTAATATTTTACTTTTAGTATTTTTATTTTACGATGTTTATCTTTTGAAATTGGCGCTTTTTCTAATTAAGACTATGGTGACAGGTTACGTGTTTCGAAAAAAATCTCAATATCAAAAATGTCGACATGGATCTAAGATTATATGGATAGTGTCTGTCTCTACGCGGGGTAGCTGAGAGATTAGCGAGAGACTACGTGCACTTCGATTAGTACCAGCGTTCTTCGGATATATTCGATTTTACATGAAGACTGTTTTATATATATATATATATATATACAAATCAATGATTCTTAAACTAAGGATTCATATTAAAAAGAATCTATATGAAATATTCCGTATTGTCATTTTCATTATTATCTACATATTTTTAAAGAGAATAAAATGTACTTTTTCTGTAGAGCAAATAATATTTAGTCTTAAAGTTTTATAAAAGTTACATTTTAAAAGATGTTTATAAAAAAATTAAGTTATTTTATAAATTTGTACAGAACTTTGAATAAATGTATGGGTATACATATTTATATATCTCTACATATATCTATATGTATTTACTACTTTAATATGTACATTAATAACTTATCAAAAAATTTTAAAATTAGCACAAGTTTGTTGCCACACATGCATTTACTTTGAAAGCGAATAACTGGGACTCGGGAGCCGAATAATTCCGAGTCAATCCGAATCGATCCAATGTGCACATAGTTCACCCTTACCGCTAATCTCACTGCTCCTCTTATCATAACTGGCAGTATATATGCTCCGTCCATATATTCTTAGATCCATGGGTATCGACGCTTACTGTCGTACTAACTGGTTAAATGATGGTGTAGCGATGAAGTACGCTTCGTGACTACACACGTATGCTCTGTGACCACATACGCATGCGAAGAATACGCAAATTCTCTGCTTTGAAAACAAAAATTATATAAGAAAATAATTTGTGTTTTCAAAGCAGAAAATTTGTGTTTTGAAGAAGAGAATTTGTGTTTTGGAGAAGAGAATTTGTGTTCTTAAAACATATTCTCTGCTTTAGAAACACAAGTTCTCTGCTTTAAAATATGTTGCTATATTTCGTAAAATAGTTTGTGTTTTTAAAGCATATATTCTCTGTTTTAAAACATAAATTCTCTGTTTTAAAACACAAATTCTTTGCTTTAAAACATAAATTATTATGCTTTAAAAACACAAATGTTCTGCTTTGAAAATACAAATTATTTCACGAAATATAGCAACACGTTTTATAAAAATATGTTGCTATATTTCATAAAATAATTTATATTTTTAAAACAGAGAATTTTGTGTTTTTTAAAAACAGAAGGTATATGCTTTAAAAAACACAAATTCTCTGACTTTAAAAACACAAATTATTTTTTATATAACTTAGTTTTGCGTGTGGTCACAGAGCATGCGCATGTGATTACGAAGCATACGCATATCGCTATACGTCCTCGATATGACAGACTTCTTAATCTGAATAATCATCAACTTTAACGATTAATATCTCACTTTGCGAAGCAGAGCGACACTTATTTCTCTCGGATCCTTTCATTTTGTACGCGTCAAATGAGCTTGATTTTATCCATATTTGAGATGAGGTAGCTAAACTGTATAATTACTTTACTATTGTGGTAATTAAATAAATATCATCTTGCGGCGTTTGGAGCAAATTAAAATTTAATTTCTTGATGTCATACGGACTCGAGATATTACAAGAAGAATAATAATTCTATAAAGTAATGAACGTCATCTTATCATGGATTAAAGATGATCATTATACAAGTATATGTAGAGAAGAAATACCTAATGATTGAATTGAAATTGATAATGAGTAAATTAAACGAAAGCAACAGTCTAGAGGTGCTAAAGATGCCTATATACTCTTCTCGCAAAGAATTATTAAAAAATAATTACTGATATTATTTAATATCAGTATATATCAATATTATATTCTTTTCATTATAAAAAAATATTCCACATGTGTATTAAATAACTTATTAATAAATAAATATAATTTATTAATAAATAAATGTATCAGAACAAAATTATCTTTTTACAAAAAATAAAAAAATGACGCCAAGTACAAGTGCCCTTGTTATTTTTGGTTTGAATAAAAAAATAAAATTCAATTTTGGCCAACCTTTAATCCCTCCATCTTAATTTAATTAAGAAACGAAAATCTTACAACAGTAAAACCATATAAAAGAAATCTACTCTACAAAACATTTTCCATATCAGAAAATAAATCAATTATTAAATGGTACTAAAAATGTAATATGAAAAAATGATATCAATTTGTAAGCCCAGTAAAGTAAAAAGAACACCTTACAAAGAAAATATGAAATTTAATTAATAAAATATGAAATTTTTATCAAGTTATAGTTGTTAATAAAGTTTTAATAAATTGACAACTAATGTCGATGTTTAATTGTCAATAAAATTTAACATAATTATCGCACTTGTATCTATTAGATAGATAGATATCTAAGTAGATTCAATTCTGTAATAATAATAACATTTCATTAAAATATTATATATTTTTTTCTCAAATATATTATATACGTTTTATTAAATACATTATATACTTTTCCAAAAATTGAATTATTTTTTGATATGAAACTTTTTTTTATAAAATAGACTCCTTGTATATGAATTCAATGTCATAAGATTCTTTTTTATTTAATGGGATTAAAAGTTAACCGAAATTGAATCTTATTTTTGTATACAAACCAAAAATAACAAAGGGCGCTTGAGTTTGATGTCATTTTTTATTTATAATTTGCATATAACAGTTTACATTCATAAAAATTTATCCTAACAGTCATTTTAAAATTATTCATTAATTATGATATTGTACTGAATTATAAAAGTTATATGTAATCTTAATATGTAATTTAATTAATATTATTAAAAAATTAATGTTATTAAAAAAAATAATAACATGTCATGATCTTGAGAATGATGCTACTAAATTCATTATCTTATCTTCTCGCTGCTATCATAATTGTCTTCTTTAGAAGTTTGGCACCCTTATAGGTTTATGAATCAGATTCCGGTTAAAAATGTTACAATGCATAAATATTAAATCTTTCTCCATATCGCCAATTGACCTAGTATATCAGGAGACATGGAGGTGTCTCGGGAAGGTTATAAACCTTCCTGAATTTTCTTCCCAACAGCTTTCCATTTAAATCGACTGCCATCACAAAGACATCATAATATTCAGGATAAAACTGCAAAACACTATTGCAATAATGAGAATTACAAATAAGCAAGAACATTAATTTAAAAGCCAATTTAAATGAAAGTTTATATAAGAATCATTTATAACCACATAATAAAAATTAATATCATTTAATCATTTAATTTAATGATTTTTAGAGAAATATAAATATAGTACTGTTATTGATATAACTAGAGACATGAATATCATATTTGGAAATGTTAAGAAATGCAACATGTATATTTCTTCGATTTTATTATAAAATAACTTTGTGATTAATTATAAATCATATTCTTTAGTTATTTTACGAAAAGTACCATACATTTACCTTTCTAAAGATTTCATGATTAGAATGAGAGATTTATAATGGTAATATAATGTACCAACCTTAAATGTTGCTACAGTGTTGCTAAATTCACTTGTCCTCTCGCGGCTGCCGCTACTACTATCTTCTTTAAAAGTTTGACATCAGATACAAATCAGGTTTGTTAAATTGTTGTCAAGTGTTGCGGCGCATGAATAATAAACCTTTCCATCATCATTAATTGCGTAACTATATTCGCGCTTTCTTGAATTCTTCTCGCAATAATTTTTAATCACCGTCTCAGTGACATCACAACACTTAGGCTAAAGCTGCGATACAATATTATTACTGAAATTACAAATGAATATAAATTAAAAGTAATTTAAGTGCAGGAAGATTATTATATCATGTAATGATTAATATTGACATAATAACACATAACGAAATATGGCCACATGTCAAGAGATAGCGACATGACGAAAGATAGTCATGTATCTGTCATATTAATATTATAGAATAAAAAACATATTTTAGATTTTAATGTTTATAGGTAGCCTATACCTTGTTTCACTAACTTTTGTGTTTTCTGCCATATATATATATATATATATATATATATATATATATATATATATATATATATATTTA